AATATCACACTACTGCACTCCAGCCTGGGCGAAAGAGGGTGACTCTGTCTCAAAGGAAAAAAAAAACAACAGGATCTCAGGCTTCTAAATTTTTATTCTGTAAACACACTAATACAAACTATTTTTTAGAAGTACAGAAAGACTTCCAGAGGATGTAGAGAATACCAATTCAAGCAAGATTTCTGTGACAGAGGTAATAGAACTTGGCAACTACAGTAGTTCCCCTTATCTGCAGTTTTGTTACAGGATTATAGTTACCCATAGTCAACCATGGTCAGAAAAAAGGTGAGTACAGTACAGTACGGTATTTTGAGAGACAGAGACCACAAAGGTGAGTACAATACAGTACGGTATTTTGAGAGATAGAGACCATATTCTTGTAACTTTTATTACAGTATATTGTTACGACTGTTCTAACTTATTAGTTATTAATGTTAATCTTACTGTGCCTAATTTATGAATTAAACTTTATCACAGTTATGTACATATAGGAAAAAAACATACACATAGAGTTTGGTACTATCCGCAGTTTCAAGTATGCACTAGGGGTCTCTGGAAGGCATCCCACACAGAAAAGGGGGGACCACTCTATTATGATGTGGGCAATAAGGAAGTGAAGCATTAAAGGATAAACCCTAGGTTGCTAGGAACTGGGTATGTGACACACAGTCAAACTGATTAGAAAATAAAGAAGTTTTCTTTGTTGGGAGAGGATGATGATGAGTTCAAGTTTCAGAAATGCTGAGTTTGAAATGCCTACGAAATGCCTACACAACACCCAATTAAATTAGTTGACAAATAGTCATCTCCCTCTCAAGAAAGAAATCCGGGATGGAGAGTCATCCATTCCAAAAGTGGGACAGAGGACTCAGGGAGAAGATAAAGAGTAAGAGAAGGCCAGATTTTAAATACACTGAAATTAAATCAACAGAGGAAACAGACACAGTAATACACTAATAAGGTACAGAAACATATGAGGAAAACCAGGAGAGCCTGTCAAAAAGAGAAAGTGTATCAAGGAGAATGTGATAAGAAAGCAGTTACCTTGCCAGGTAAGAGAAGTACTGAGAAGTATTCTTCTGGATTTAGTAACAAAGTTACTGTTGACACTAGCCAGAAATTCCAGCTGTGGTGGGGAGGATCAATTCCGTAACTGGAATGTATTATTGGAAGGGGGAAAAATAAAGGAAGTCATTAGCTAATACTTCTAAGGAAATAAGCCTACAATGAGATGCCAAGCACAGACTGCCATACAGAAAGTTTTATTAAAGTAGAAGTATCTTGAGTATGTTTAAAATTTGTTGGTAAAGAGGGAGATACTAAAAATGCAGAAGAGAAAAGAGATAAGCAAATAGCATGGGGGTCTGAGAAAGTGGGGGCTATTGGGATTCAGAGCAAAAGACAAATGATTAGCTTTAGACAGGAAGAGGAACACCTCTTTTATTGAAAAAATAAAGCATGGAGCTGGATGGAGGCTGGTTAGCAGATGTGGTGGTAGGAAAACAGAAGGCGTTCCCAAGTGTTGTGAAGTTGGAAGGACTGCACTTTAAATGTGAGGGTGAGATGGCAGTGTCTGTGAGATTCCAGAGAAGTAGGGAATGGAATTTTTTTCCAGCAGTGCTCATAAGCCTCAATATAAACACTCCACTGAATCCATCCAAGGTTGAAATTTTGTCAGGCAAGTTTAACAGAAAGACAGTAAGATAAGAAAGCTGAAGCTGTTAGGGAACCATTGATAGAAGTTATTGATGACAGCAGTATGGACAGCTGAATGGGATAAAAATAAAATTCTACTTTAAACACACACTTCTACTCATACTATGCCTTACTAACAACGTTGAAACTATTGTTTTCAAGTTTCATTTAGCTATTTTTGACAGCCTTAGTGGGCTTATCTTTCTTACAAAGACACAAAAATGAAAATAATACTATGGCAATTTAAGCTACTTTCAATGAGTAATATATTTGTTTAAGAAAATCCTGTTAGGCCAGGTGCTGTGGCTCACGCCTATAATCCCAACATTTTGGGAGGCTGAGGCGGGAGGATCACGAGGTCAGGAGTTCAAGGCCAGCCTGATCAACAAGGTGAAACCCCATCTCTACTAAAAATACAAAAATTGGCTAGGCGTGGTGGCGTTCGCCTGTAATCCCAATATTCAGGAGTGTGAGGCAGGAGAAACCCTTGAACCCAGGAGGCGGAGGTTGCAAGAGATCATACCTCTGCACTTCAGTGTGGGTGACAGAGACTCCATCTCAAAAATAAAGAAAATCCTCCAGCAAGATTCTTATTATAGGGAAGTATTACATGTCTCTAAACAGAATATCACAATATTAATTACCATGGAAATACCTATGACTACAGCTTACCCTTGAAATAAGAATATAACAGAAATATATCAAATAATCAGGCCAGGTGCAGTGGTTCATGCCTGTGATCCCCGTACTTTGGGAGACCGAGGTGGGCAGATCACTTGATTCACCTGGCCAACATGACGAAACCCCATCTCTACTAAAAATGCAAGTATTAGCCATGCCTGGTGGGACAGGCCTGTAATCCCAGCTGTTTAGAAGGCTAAGGCAGGAGAATCCCTTGAACCCCAGAGGCGGGGGCTGCAGTGAGCTGAGATCCCACCACTGCACTCCTGCCTGGGTGACAGAGCAAGTCTCTATCTCAAAAAAAAAAAAAATCAAAACCCCAAAGTAATCATGAAAGAAAAAAATCTATTTTTTCTCAAATGGCATTATTCATAATCATCTCTGAAAATATATATCCAAGATAGTCATGTACTTTTCTGGACAGTAACTGGCACATGGTTTCACTCTCTACTTCATTCTCTGCTTTCATGACCTGAGCACTTGCAGTGACTTTTCTAGCACTCTGGACTCAATTCCAATATCCGTCTCATCTCTCTTCCAATACTGAACTGATAATTTGTTCAAGATCCTGAACTTTTAAAGTTCTTCTTTCTGATCTTAAGTTTTGCATTCTACTTCTCTCACTGTATTCCTGCTGAGCCTGCTTAGCCTTCCTGAATACTACCAGCCCCTTCATTATTTCTCTCTCCCTAAATCCAACAATCCCAATTCCTTACTCAAATCCAAACTCAAGTAAGTCATTCCAAAAATGCCTTGCTAGCTAAGCATCCCTCACTTCCTCACCTACTTGTCCATTCTGTCAACCCAATTCTGGATAAAACTTTTTCTCTGCTATTGTTGTCGAACTATCAAAAAGTGGGGAAACAGTAAAAAAAAAAAAAAAAAAAAAATGGCATTGACTGCCGTCACTATTAAGGTATACTACACTCTACATACACATAAATACTTTTAAAACCTAAGTTTACTCCATGACGTAAGGCACTTTGTTCAGCACATTGTTGTATCTCTAGTACTTTCGTCATTGCATAGCATGTTGCAGGGCATCCAAATTCATAAAAAAGAAAGCATTGCTATGTATCTCCCATTGGCTTCTTAGTGGATTCTGTGGTGTCAATCTTACAGCCTTACTAGTTTCCCCAAGTCTCAAATCCACTTTCCTCCTTCAGAAACAAATGGCCAAATCTATTGAAAAACCCAGGCCTTCCAATATAAGTTAAATCAATTACCCTATATTTTTATTTCTCTTATCCATCATCTTTCTCCAATGTGCTAAAAAGAAAATTATTTTATAACTAATTTTATAATTATTTATTTTACTGAGGCCTACCATACAGCAATCACTCTAGTAATAAGAACTCTAATACATACATTCACATGTGACCTTTCCCGAGTTCTATTTTTCTTGTCCTGTTTTGTTAGTCTTCCGGTTAAAAGTAACGCACTGCGAATTATAATTAAGATATACATCTACTACTTATTTGTATTTTCTCATGATAGTCTCATTTCACATCCTCAGAGACCTATAAAAATCTGTCTGCTTTTAGCCGGGCGCGGTGGCTCACGCCTGTAATCCCAGCACTTTGGGAGGCCGAGGCGGGTGGATCACGAGGTCAAGAGATCGAGACCATCCTGGCCAACATGGTGAAACCCCGTCTCTACTAAAAATACAAAAAATTAGCTGGGCATGGTGGCACGTGCCTGTAATCCCCGCTACTCAGGAGGCTGAGGCAGGAGAATTGCCTGAACCCAGGAGGTGGAGGTTGCGGTGAGCCGAGACCGTGCCATTGCACTCCAGCCTGGATAACAAGAGCGAAACTCCGTCTCAAAAAAAAAAAAAAAAAACTGTCTGCTTTTGAAGAAAACAAGAATACATACTGATTTCTACAAAACTTTTGAAATGAACTTTCTTAAAATATTAAGAGAATTAAATTCAGATTGAGTTTTAAAGAGCAATTTTTTCTAAAAAGTTTTCAACAAACTTCTAATTCTTACTTTTTAGACATTTTTCCAAACTGTTCTTCTCAATTATTTAACTTTCCTTAGTGAACTTACATTCTACAGCACAGACTTTATTCTGCGGCTAAACAGAGATTACCGTTACATCACTTGCACGTGAGAACACACTATGCACTAAAACTAATGTTTAAAGTAACTTTATACCAGAAAAGGGAGATTGAAGTACAAAAAATAATAAAGTAATTCTAGACAACTAAACTCCGGTCAAGATACAACTTCAAAAAGTAGAGTTCATTAACAGCCAATTTAAGAATGTTGTAAAAGGGAACTTGAGATTAAATGGATTTGGAAAGAGATGCTAAGCAGTTATAGGAAATTGAAACGGGTTGAAAAACATTCTGTGAAGACAAAGAAATTTCAAACGGTACTGCATAAACCATTCTAGTATTTAATAACTAGGAATGGGATGGTCTTTCCTAACAAAGGTATAAGGGCAGGCCAAAGCGGCATGCCGAAAAGCAGAGCAAACAGGGCCGTGAACCCACAATGTTTGTTTACTCAGCAGAGAGGGTCCTCAGCCATGCACTTTATTTTGATAGCAGTCTCCACCATAAAGTCTTCTTTAACTCTGAATACACAAGATGATAATACAGATGATGTCAAATTACCTGTTTAGAAACTAGTTTCTGCAGCTCAGAAACTGCTCCTTTCCTGCTCCACACTTCAAAGCTGTTTCCTGCTTAGGATTAAAAATACGTCACTTAAGTAAATTACTTACACCATGAAATACAGAACAAATACTACATTTTTGGTCTAAAATGTGTTTAGAAAGATCAACAGAAGGGAAAAAACATACTCAATATTTTAAATTCAAGTTACCTCAATTCTTATGGAAAATGTGATATACATACATAAATGCTTAAATCCTCCAAACTTCTAAAACGTTATCAAACAGCAAAGTGACATCTACTTCGTAATAGTATAACAAAGATGGTTAGTCCAATTAACCTTTAATAGTCTATGCCGAAGTTTACTCCTCTGACTGATAAGTTTCCTATTACTCAAACTAGCAACCTCGCATATCCGATGATTTAAAAAACGTTTGCTCATTTAAAAGCGAACTGCTGGCCGGGCGCAGTGGCTCAAGCCTGTAATCCCAGCACTTTGGGAGGCCAAGGCGGGTGGATCACGAGGTCGATGGATCAAGACCATCCTGGTCAACATGGTGAAACCCCGTCTCTACTAAAAATACAAAAAATTAGCTGGGCATGGTGGCTCGTGCCTGTAATCCCAGCTACTCAGGAGGCTGAGGCAGGAGAATTGCCTGAACCCAGGAGGCGGAGGTTGCGGTGAGCCGAGATCGCGCCATTGCACTCCAGCCTGATTAACAAGAGTGAAACTCCGTCTCAAAAAAAAAAAGCGAACTGCTGTACTTAGTAATATAAAATAACCTTGTCACTATATAAATACTACGTTTACCTTCAGTTCAAAAACTGTTTTATACTGGTGTTCGGTGGCCTTCACCAGGAAGGTGCTAGGGAAAGAAAGCAGCAGGTGCACCCAGGCTCTGCAACACCCACTCCGGTAACCAGAGAACACCAGTAGGCGGAGTCTGAAAAGCGGTTTGGGGCGGGGGCAGTAGGGGCGCCCAAAAAGCCCGCTTCTTCCAGCGCCCAAACACGAACCGTCACCCGTAAGGCACACAATAAAGACCTCAATCCGGCCCCCCCAAAAAAAATTAGACCAAGCAAGTTCCTGAGGAGTGGGCGGCAGGACGCAAAGTTGCACGCCCTGCTGCCCCGGCGGGGCCTAATCCCCAAACGCCAGTTTCTGCAAAGCAAGCAACGTCTCCCCAACCCCACTTGGCATTTAGTCTTTCCCGCTTCTAGGCCCAATTCTAACTAGCTCTGCGGGAAGGGAGGCAGAAGGGGCGAAAGGAGAGCGTGAGGGAGTGACTCCATTAACACTCCCAGGAACGCCTCCCCGGCCCCTCGGCTCCCCGAGCACCAGAGACGGCGGAAATCCCGCAGCTCAAAGCCCAACAGCAACTCTTCAGAGTCGCGTCTCTCATCAGCCCTTCTGCACCCCAAAGTCTAGACACCGAGAACCCCACAGAATAAAACGTGAGGAAACGTGGGCATGAGGACTATGGCCACCAAGGCCTGTTTCTCTGCGAACTCGACCCCGTGCCTCTGGCCCCCAAACCAGAGCCCCCTCTCCGCTTCCTCCGCCCGCAAGGGGCACTCCCGGGGCCACCGGGACGCAGGGCGACCTCCCCGGCAGGGCCAGCCGGAGAACGAGGAGGCAAGGAGGGGTCCTGCAGTCGCCAGCGCGTCCCGAGGCGCTCACCGGGGATCCCGGCGGGCGGTCCTAGCGGAGGGGGTGGACCGTCCGCCTCAGGGACTCGAAACCGGCGGCAAGAAGACCCGGGAGCCTGACGACGAGGCGTGGGCCCGCGGCCAGACCCAACGGGGTCAAGCGTCCCGGAGCCGTTACTCTCCCGCCCCGGGGGCGCGCCGTCCTCGGTTGCCAGGGGCTGGGGACGCGCCGGCATTACCTGTACGCGAAACCAGCCTCTCCCGTCAAGGGCGGAGCGGCGGTCAGCTCCCACGACCCGCCACCGGCAGCGGTCAGTCCTCGGAGACCGCAGCAGGGAGGCCTACACTTTGCCTGGCTGCCTAGGGCCCAATGGCCGCCTTTTCGACATGAGATACTCGACGCCAACCGCCGCAGCCACCGCCATCTTAGGATCTCATTGTGGTGGGAGAACAGGGGCGGGGGAACTGCAGAGGGGGCGACGCGCGGCGGGACGTGCGCCGTCTCCTCGGCAACGGCCGCGCGGGGGCGAGAACTCGCCCGGGCGGGAGCCGCAGTGCGATCTACGCGCTGGACTGCAGTCACGTGACCCGCCGGAGTCCGTGTTGTCGTTTCTGGCTCCTAAAGCCGAAAACGGATTACACGAACGAATCTCCCCCGCCCAGGGACTACATATCCCAGAATGCCAACTCGACCTCGCGTTCTAGACGCCGGCCCGTCACAGGTGGATGGACTACAAATCCCAGCATGCTTTGCGCTTCCAGCGCTGATCGCGAAACGTGCGGCCCTAGGCCTATGCGGAAGTGGATTGATCTCCCTCAGCCCGTGGAGAAAGAGCGGAGGCGGGATGCGATTTTTCCGTGGGGGTGTCAGCTCCGGCCGGTGCCGGAAAAAGAAGCCAAGACCAGGATCGCTGTCTGCTCCTTTCCCACCCACATCCCGGTCATGAAGAGATGGGAACAAAAGGACCCTTATAATCTAGTCCAACTCCCTAATTTTACGTAAGAGGGAGTTGGTCCACGGAAATTAAACAGTTTGCCAAAGGTCATGTGTAACTGCTGAGCAGGAGAATCATAAATGTTGGTATTTAACGCCACTTTTGGTTAGTGTCCTGTTCCTTAAAAGAACCAGATGATGTTAATCCAAACTTGATTTCAGTAAATTTTCTCTGATTTCTCTTTTTATTTATACTCTTCTGTTAGCAGCTCTATGAAGATGAGTAAATTGGCAGGTTTCCCCTTTTAAAAAAATTGAGTTACAAGGCCTTCAATGTGACTGACTGGAGAGTTAAAACACCTGTCAATTTGAGTTGTGTGCCAGGGCATTCTAGTTTTATACAGTTTATAATTATGGGAGAACTTTAAGCAAAATAAAGATAAAACGAGGTGGAGAATCGCTTTCTGGGTTATAACAACAAAAACAAATTGTTCTAATTATCAACAAAAATCGTTCCCGAAAAAGTAGATCTGCATCTCACTACACAATTCAAATAAAGCTCTTCCAACCCACTGCAATTTGCCACCCTAGCTTCAGCTGTGACTGCAATGACAGTTTGCACTAATACTTGTTTGTCACTCTTTGCTCATATTGTGTGTGTCTATCGCTAAGTACTGAGATAGCAAAAATATACTCCCTGCCCTTGAAGAGTTTGTTTTAGTGAAGGATAGGGAAGTGGACTGTGGTAGGTGCTGTGGGAGCTCAGAACACAGAGCAGCTAAACGCTCAGGTGTTTACTGTGGGCCAGAATGCCCTATCCTAATTCCACCACTCTAACATCTTGGACAAATTACTTGCCTTTTTGAGCCTTAATTGCCCCACCTATGAAATGAGGGGAAGGGAATAATACTGCCTAACTTGAAGGGATTTAAAAAAAAATGTTCTTAGAGTTTATTTTATGCCAGGCACAGTGTAAAGCACTTCAGCTGTTGTGATTTTCTTAACCTCACAGCTACCCTAAGGAGGCTGGATCTGCAGCTGATCCATCTTAGCAGTGAGAGATTATATAAATCAAACTTCTAGCAGCTACAAGTGGTAGAGACCAGATTTAAACCCAGGTCTACCTGCTTCCTTATAGGTTTTTTTTTTTTTTTCTTAAATAAAATGCATATAAAAAAACACTAGTATATGTTAAGGCCCAAAATATTAGCTATCATTATTTTGTTTTATACATACGTATTATTAGTAAACTTATGTAGAAGCTGTTACCATTAAAACAATTCTAATAAATTCAAAAGCATGAAATTATAGTACCTATTAGTCATTATGTTGTCTGAATTTATGAAGTCCCAGAAGGTCAATACTATTGTTCGTTAGGAGGTAGGAGGAATTTGAGAAATATTTACATTGAAAAGCGGTTCTCAAACTTCAATATGAGCATTACTGATCTTTGTAGAGGAAGAAGGAAAGAAGAAAACCAAAAGCTATAAAATTATCCCTGGCTTTTAGAAATTTAACACCTAATTTTGGAAACAAGCTTTATAAAAATGAATCGATTTAGTATTAGTAATGTGTCACCATGGCAAACACATGATATAGACACTGATTGCTTTAGTAATTTAGATGTTAAAAATGGGGATGTTTTGTCTCAGAGATAATGACAGCTCCAGGATTTACAGGTAGGATGAAATTAGGCACAGCAATATGTGGAAATGTAGGTAAGAAACAGAAGAATGGTCTCTAAAAGATAAACACTGAAACCACATTTCAGTTTTCCACATTGAGGAGAATAACCTAACCCATGTGTTAAGTATGCAGGGGCTGGCCGGGCATAGTGGCTCAAGCCTGTAATCCCAGCACTTTGGGAGGCCGAGGCAGGCAGATCATGAGGTCAGGAATTCGAGACCAGCCTGACCAACGTGGTGAAACCCCATCTCCACTAAAAATACAAAATTTAGCCAGGTGTGGTGGTGCACGCCTGTAATCCCAGCTACTCAGAAGGCTGAGGCAGGAGAATCACTTGAAACCGGGAGGTGGAGGTTGCAGTGAGCCAAGATCATGCTACTGCATTCCATCCTAGTAGACAGAGTAAGTCTCCCTCTCAAATAATAATAACAATTAATAAAATTAAAAATAAATATGCAGGGATGGAAGTTCCAAATGGCAGAATGGTGTTCAAGGAAGTGGAATACAGCAAGAACACAGACCAGACATCCACAATAAGCAATTGGCAGCAAGCAGACTGGCTGGAGTAAAGAATTTACATGGGGTAAGTGATGGGCAAGTGAGAGAAAGCAAGGTTTATTACCAGGTTGGGGCCACACTATAGAAAGTCTTAGCTACTTAAATAATGAGTTTGGCTTTGTTCTTCAGGTAGTGGGAAACCATTTGAGACTTTGGAAAAGGTCAATGCTATATTAAAATGATTATTTTAAGACTTCAGTCTAGTAGCAAAGTTTTGTACAGACTAGGAAGAGAAGACAAGGAGAAAAGGTGCTAACCTGTCCTGAAAAAGGCTTAGCCTAAGGTAGCAGTAGAAAGAATAAAGGGATTTCATTTTTCATTAACATAAACTAAATCAGTTGTTGTGATGTGAAAATACTATTTCTGTTTCTTGGTATTCGGTAGGACACTAACCAGGTGGTACTTAATAAGATAACATGGCCAGGCATGGTGTCTCATGCCAGTAATCCCAGTGCTTTAGGAGGCCGAGGCGGGTGGATCACAAGGTCAAGAGTTCGAGACCAGCCCAACCAACATGGTAAAACCCCGTCTCTACTAAAAATACAAAAATTAGCCAGCAGTGGTGGCGAGGGCCTATAATCCCAGCTACTGAGGAGGCTTAGGCAGGAGAATTGCTTGAACCCAGCAGGCAGAGGTTGCAGTGAGCTGAGGTAGTGCCATTGTACTCCAGCCTGGGCTACAGAGCAAGACTCCGTTTCAGAAAAAATAACAGTTGGCGCTTGTTTATCCATTGAATATATTCTGTATGCTCGTTATCCGCAGATGGATTGTAAGCATGACTAGAACAGAAACCCAGCCTTGTGTACCTTTTATCCTTTGAAAAACAACTTTTCTGCAATACCTACTTTTAACCTGCAGATGGCAATAGAACTTAAAGGAAAAATCCTCAGTGACCAGTAGACTCTAACTGGATGTTATTTGCTTTTATTATGTGATTTTTTTTTTTTTTGATACATCCAAAAGAATATATAACCTACATCGAATTCTATAGTACAATAATGAGAACCGGGCGTATTAGCTCACACCTGAAATCTCAGCTAGTTGGAAGGCTGAAGCTGGAAGATCACTTGAGGAGCTCCAGACCAGCCTGAGCAACTTAAGGTGACTATTTCTTTTATTATTATTTATTTTTATTTATTTATTTATTTTATTTATTTTTTATTGCATTTTAGGTTTGGGGGTACATGTGAAGAACATGCAAGATCGTTGCATAGGTACACACATGACCGTGTGGTTTGCTGCCTTCCTTCCCCTCACCTGTATCTGTCATTTCTCCCCATGCTACCTCTTCCCACCTCCCCACCTCCCCGTCCCTCTCCCATTTCCCCCCAACGGACCCCAGCGTGTAGTGCTCCCCTCCCTGTGTCCATGTGTTCTCATTGTTCAACACCCGCCTATGAGTGAGAACATGCGGTGTTTGATTTTCTGCTCTTGTGTCAGTTTGCTGAGAATGATGGTTTCCAGGTGTGAGTGTAAATTAATTCAACCATTGTGGAAGACAGTGTGGCGATTCCTCAAGGACCTAAAAATAGAAATCCCATTTGACCCAGCAATCCCATTACTGGGTATATATCCAAAGGATTATAAATCATTCTACTATAAGGACACATGCACACAAATGTTCATTGCAGCACTGTTTACAATAGCAAAGACCTGGAACCAACCCAAATGCCCATCGACGATAGACTGGATAGGGAAAATGTGGTACATATACACCATGGAATATTACGCAGCCATCAAAAACGATGAGTTTGCGTCCTTTGTAGGGACATAAGGCGACTATTTCTACACATACATACATACATACATAAAATGAGCCAAACACTCGAGAGCCCACAATCTAACCTCAGAAATAGAATTTAATTAAGATGTGTCCAGGCACAGTGGCTCACGCTTGTAATCCCAGCACTTTGGGAGGCTGAGGCAGTTGGATCATTTGAGGTCAGGAGTTTGAGACAAGCCTGGCCAACACGGTGAAACCCTGCCTCTACTAAAAATACAAAAATTAGCCAGACTTGGTGACGCAAGCCTGTAATCCCAGGGAGGCTGAGGCAGGAGAATATCACTTGAGCCCAGAAAGCAGAGGTTGCAGTGAGCTGAGATTGTGCCACTGCACTCCAGCCTGGTGACAGAAAGAGACTCTCTCAAAAAAAAAAAAAAAAAAAAAGAAAAGAACTTAAGATGTTTAAGGCCAACCCCTCGCCACACTTTTATTCAAACTCTTTTTTCTTTGCAAACATAAATACTATCCTGAATTCAATATTATCTTTCCTTCATTTTATTCATATAACTATGGATATACCTAAATAATATGTTTTATTTTGCCTGTTTTCAAGCTTTATATAAAGGATATCATACTGAATATATGCTTTCTTCACTTGATTTTTTCATTCAACATTGTGTTTCTGTGATTCATCCATTTTAATGGGTATAAACACCAGATTTATTTTTTGTTTTTTTAAATTATACTTTAAGTTCTTGAATACATGTGCAGAACACGCAGGTTTGTTATATAGGTATACATGTGCCATGATGGTTTGCTGCACACATCAAACCGTCACCTACATTAGGTATTTCTCCTAATGCAGTCCCTCCCTTAGCCAACACACATGTTAAATATGCAGGGGGTGGCCAGGCATGGTGGCTCATGCCTGTAATCCCAGCACTTTGGGAGGCCGAGGCAGGCAGATCCCCCTGACCTGACAGGCCCCGGTGTGTGATGTTCCCCTCCCTGAGTCCATGTGTTCTCATTGTTCAACTCCCACTTATGAGTGAGAACATGTGTTATAAACACCAAATTAATTAAGAGCAGAAAAATACAACTTGGCTTTGTGGGTAACTAAGTGGAAGAAGAGATTGGTCAGTCCAAACACAGGACTGATTGGAGGCCTCTGACCTGGTTCTTACACCTTTTAGTTAAATTTTGGCACTGTTAACTTCTCTACCTTTCAGTTGTGCCCAGAGTGTCTGAATCTTGGTACCATTGACAGTTTAGGCTGGGTAATTCTTGTGGGGGCTGGTCTGTGTTTTGCAAGATGTTTAGCAACATCCCTGGCCTCTACCCACTGTATATCTAGAGCAAACCCCTGCCCATTGTAAAAGCCAAAAATGTCTCCTGACATTGATTGCCAAGCATCCTCTGGAGTTTGGGAAGGGAGATTTTTCTTCCATAACTCTTTTGCTCAGAAACTTAAAAGTTGACATACATAATCTAATCAACCAGCCATTATATAATTATATCGACTAATTCTATCCCATCCACATGCATAAGTAATATATCAAGGCTCTTTTTACCTTGCTCTGTTTTCCCTAGATCTAATTACCAGAACATCTCTCATTACTGCCTAGTTTGGATTCTTTATTATTAGATTTAACAATAGCCAATTGCTGCTGTTGACATACAATATTAATGTTTATAACAGTCTGAACTGCCCTTTTCTTCATAACCACTTTATGTCCTTTTCTTTCAAAATTATTCATTCAATAAATGCGACTCTTGTGATTCAGACAATTTCATCTAAATTTGCATTTCATCAGTTTTCACATGGCTTTACTTCTACAGAGTTGTGATTACTACATAATTCTTCCTATATTTTTCTTGTATATATGTTTGGGGGGTTGTATGTTTTTATACCATCTTCTCTATTCACTGAAAATCTAATCAAAGCTGCAATCATTTAGTAAAGTCTTGTGTAAATTGTCAAGACATACCAAGTTGGAGAGGTTTAAACAAAGAGATATAAGTAACAATTTTTTAAAAGTACAAGGAAAATAATCGATATCTTTTTCCTTGTTTCCCACCAACCCTATAGCAAAATAGTTCAACTAGAACTATATAACTAGATATATGTTCGTAATTAAGTAGAAAAATTACATAATTAGGTGAGAGAGTTCCAAAAATACAGAAATATGGGCTGATACGGATTTTGTTTCCTAATTCATAGGAAAAATGTTACAAAGGCATGAAAATTCGACCTCAGTTTTTACTTTAAAAATGCTATTAGTCAAAACAAAATTATGCAAAATAAGGACTCAGAATTGTTATGGTTATACAGAGTAATCTGGAGTGACTTTATAAAATATGGTCTCTGGCTGAAATAAGTCTTAATTCACAAAAATAAGGAGAGCTGCAGGTGACAACCAGATTTATAATATGCATCCACATGGACTAGCAGAGGCATATGAGGCACAATTGGGGTTGCAGTGATCCACATTAAATTCACGCCATTATGTAGAAAAGTGACAGCTATGTATGTTATAATTTTATATTTTATCAAAAAAAGCCTTCCACATTGCATTTCTCCTTCCATGAGAAAGATCCCAAAGTCAGGCGAGAACTAGAAAAACATGTGTGAACTCAGATTAACCAGGCAAGAGAGAATGCCCTCTCTTTACCAGAAGAGTACTAAATAATCTCCCGGGGTAAAAACCAAGGATGTTTTATGGTGGGCCAGACTATCCAAGACTCCCTGATCTAGATAAGGAAACAAGTATAACCTTGAGAATAGGTGAAACACACTGGTATAGAGCAGGGGTTGGCCAAACTTTTTCTGTAAAGAACCAGATATTAAATATTTTCAGCATTGTATGCTCTACAGTCTGTTTCAATTTCTCAGCTCTGGTTGCAGAATGAAAGCAGCTATAGACCAGCATATAAACAAATGAGCATGCCTATATTCCAATAAACCTTATTTGTAGACACTGAAATTTAGATTTTATATAATTTTCACATGTCAAAATTTTGATCTATTTGTGATTTTATTTCAAGTACTTAAAACTATAAAAATGAATCATGGGTCCAGTTTAGACTGTGGGCGATACGATAGTTTGCTGGCCTCTGCTGTAGAGCACTAAACGCTTAAATTCTTAGATACTTAATGTTAGGTCAGAGAAGAAATTAGCAATAGAAGAAAATACAGTTTCATTACTTTACAGGGTGGTTATTTTATGAGTACTACTTTGAACCAATAGAAAGGGAGGATATAAATCCGGTGTAGCTGAACGATATTTGTAGTGTGAGTTAGTACCATATATTTTCTTGTATACTGGATTTTGTTTTTCCCCAGTCAGAGTAGATGTAGGCATGCATTTCCTTTGAGAATTGTCACAGCCAGCAATACTGGAAACAACAGATGAGAAAAGATGGAGATCGGTCAGAGCAGTTCCCACTCCTCACAATTTGCCTGGGTGGAAAGAGAATGACTTGGTGGGAAATCAGAAGAGTGGGGTGTTTTCCCTTGGATAGCTGAAAAGGAAGAGGGGGAAGGTGGAGCAGCAATCAGTGTAGTCCCTAAGGCTGAGGTCCCTGTGACCAGAGCAAGAACAGACAGTTGTGACATTATACAAACTTCACACCACCCCAAACCCCAGAAATCATATGCAATCCCCAGGCTGGACAGAGATTCTAAATTCTGATATGATGCTGAAATGAGTGGAAAATTCGACTTCTCTGCGCCCATAAAATGGAGCCTTGAAATTCAATTAGAAAACAGAGTTACAGTTATTTCCCATGTAAATTGTCATACGACACAGACCCACTTTACTTACATAGTATAAATATCAGTTACCTGAATGCTCTCAAGCCTTGAAGTTGGTGGGGAAACCATGTTTCCATCACATCTACAGGGTGAAATCTAACCTCACTTGCTGGCACCTTCCAGGATCTTCGGAAGTAATGCTTTTCTATTATTTCCTGCTTGTACTAAATTATTGTGATTTCTCTCAAGTCTAGCCTTTTTTGGCTGTTCTTTTTCTCCACTCCATATCATTCCCAAGGCAAAACACAGCCTCTTTCTCTGTTATCAAAATGTCACAGGTACAAGGCATCTCTGCACAGTAGATTCTCATTGAAGATTCAGCGATAACCAAGGAAGGCAGGGGAAGAGGAAGAAGAATTTAGGCTGCAGCAAACACCTTAAAACCGACTATTTAAAGATTTTTGCTCTTCAAAGATTCTAGCCCAGAATGTCTCCTTGGCTGCTTCTTGCTCAGCTCCCTGGTATCTTGATGCATTCCGTCTTCACATCCTCCTCCCCATTCTTATCTCATTCACTCCTTCCTTTTTCACTCCTTTCCGCTTGGGTTACCTATGGCCATCCATCATCATCTTCTGCAGCAATGATTCCACTTCTGATCGTGAAAGCATCTCATAGATTGTGTGTGTGTGTGTGTGTGTGTGTGTGTGTGTGTGTGTGTGTGTGTGTTAGATGAGAGAGCTGTAGAGGATTGGGAAGATGTGGCAATCAAGATTCTCCTGGTAATGTTAGGTTCCAAGGTCAGGTTGCCCTCAGTAGCTTGAGCTTCCACTCTGCTGCTTCCAAAGTTCACCTCTGATTTATAGATCCCTGCACAGGCTGGAATTATGTTCGAAGGCTGGGAACCCCACAGCCTCTGTGTAAAGCTAACAAAGCCCATAGCAAATGGATAAGACCTTGCTTCTAGAACAATCTACTTCAAGTCAAATTGTGGCATATGTGACATTAAGCAAGTTGCTTGCTCTCTTTATATCTCAGCCATCTCATTGAGAAAATTGGAATTAAAAATAATAATACGTCTCTCAAAGGGCCACCGTGGAGATTACATGAATTAATACATAGGAAGCGTTCAGAGAATGCCTGGCTATATAGTAAGTAATTTCTAAATGTTAACACTTATCTAAGTTTACAGAGAAGGCTCTGTGCCAATATGGAGTTGGGACTACAGGGTTTCAGGATCCATTCCCACACTCAGATTTTAACCACAAAGAACTCACAGCATGCCAGGCTGGCTGGCTCATGATGGCTTTAGCCATTGGGACTACCTGAGCAGCTTCTGGATACTGACGCTGGGACCAGCTAGATCACCACATAAAAATAATCGGGCTCTCTCCTCCACCGCCAAAGATGCTGAAAGAAAAAAAGGCCAAGGGGAAGAAGGTGGCTCCGGCTCCTGCCATTGTGAAGAAGCAGGAGGCCAAGAAAATGGTGAATCCCGTTTGAGAAAAGGCCTAAGAATTTTGGCACTGGGCAGGACATCCAGCCCAAAAGAGACCTCACCCACTTTGTGAAGTGGCCCTGCTATATCAGGTTGCAGTGGCAGAGAACCATCCTCTATAAGTGGTGTAAAGTGTCCCCTGCAATGAACCAGTTCACCCAGACCCAGGACCGCCGAACAGCTACTCAGCTACTTAAGCTAACCCATAAGTACAGACCAGAGACAAAGCAAGAGAAGAAGCAGAGGCTGTTGGCCCGGGCCGAGAAGAAAGCTGCCGGCAAAGGGCACGTCCCCACTAAGAGACCACCTGTCCTTCGAGCAGGAGTTAACACCGTCACCACCTCGGTGGAGAACAAGAAAGCTCAGCTGGTAGTGATTGCACACGACATGGATCCCATCGAGCTGGCTGTCTTCTTGCCTGCCTTGTGTCATAAAACGGGGGTCCCTTACTTCATTATCAAGGGGAAGGCAAGACTAGGACGTCTAGTCCGCAGGAAGACCTGCACCCTGTCGTCTTCACACAGGTTAACTCGGAAGACAAAGGCTCTTGGGCTAAGCCGGTGAAAGCTATCAGGACGAATTACGACAGGTATGATGAGATCCGCCGTCACTGGGGAGGCAATGTCCTGGGTCCCAAGTCTGTGGCTCGCATAGCTGAAAAAGGCAAAAGCTAAAGAACTTGCCACTAAACTGGGTTAAATGTTCACTGTTGAGTTTTCTGTCCATAAAAATAATTAAAATAATACAAATTTTCCTTCAAAAAAAAAAAAAGAAATTGGATTTTATTTTGTTGACTGTTGAGTTGATGGAGAAATTCCAAGCCTTTTAAAATACAGAAGTAAAGTGATCTTTTTTGCATCAAGATAATGGTTTATACTCTGTAGGAGATGGTCTGCATGGGGAAGAAACTGAAAGTAGATTGATCAACTAAGAGAGAGATACCAGTAGATTATGCCAAGGTGATGGAGACATAAATTAAGGTGGCAGTGGCAATGGGGTTGATGAAGAGAGTCTGGCATTTAGAGGGTAGAATCAGCAGAACTTATTGACTAACTGGAAATGCAGGATGAGCAGGAGGAATGTTTTCGGATAATCCCAAGATCTGGGAGTGGGTAAGAGTAAATGGTGGTTTAGCCAACTCACTAGGTTCTTTCGAAGGCAAGCCTTTCCTCCCAAGGGGAAAGAAGAGAAAGAGAAGAGACTGTATTAAGTTCAGTCTGAGCTAGCAGGCCGTTGGGCAAACACGTCTGGAGTTACAGTGGGGAGTAACAGCTGGAATGAAATATCTGGGAGTTGTTAAACACTAACATTCAGCAGACCAACAAGGAAAGAATACTTCATAAAGGACAGATAGAAAACTTGGAGGATACCCAGAGAACTAAGAGGGACGGGTTTTATAAAAGCCTGTCAAAGAAAAAGTTTCAAGAAAGAAGGAGCAGCCTGAGAATTCAATGAGAAACTGCTGTGAGGAGTCTTGTGGCATCATTGTGAGCAGCTGCGGTTGCAGTAGAGATGTCAGAAGCACTGGCTTTCATTGAGAAGTTAATGGAAAGAGAGACCATGGGATCAGTGAGTGTGGACTGTCTGCTTCTTAAAAAAAAAATAAGCATAGTTGAAATGAAGAGAAATAGGAAAGTTGCTAGAGGCAGGGATAAGAAAGGTTTTAATTTTCTAGGTTTTAATACACTTGGGCTTGTTTGTAGAGCGAAGAGGGGAAATGACTGTGGAAGGAAAGGGTGAAGATAGAAGTGAGAACATGGAAGGTAATCACCTAGCTCTAAAGAAGAAAGGAGGAGCTGGGGATTCAGAGAACAGGTGGAAGGATTACATTAAAACAAGTGGAATCAATACCACAGAATCAACCCTGAAGCAAAAAGGGCCTGGGGCTGGCAGATGTTCTAAGGCTGGGAACCCCACAGCCTCAGCATAAAGCTAACAAAGCCCACAGCAAATGGATAAGACCCTGCTTCTAGAACAGTCTGCTTCAAGTCAAGTCATGGCAGGTATGACGTTAAGCTAAGTTGCCTGCTCTCTTTATGTCCTAGTCACCTCACTGGGAAAATGGGAATTAAAAATAATAATACATATCTCAAAGGGCTACTATGGGGACTATATGAATTAATACATAGGAAGCGTTCAGAGAGTGCCTGGCTCATAGTAAGGGATTTCTAAATGTTAATACTTATTTACGTTTACAGAGAAGGCTCTGTGCCAATATTGAGTTGGACTACAGCGTTTCAGGATCCATTCCCACACTCAGATCTCTTGCCACCTGAGAGGTGTCAGTAGGTTGGAGCCTCAGTAGTCTATGACTGTACCCCACTCATTAGATACTCTTCGGCTTTCCTCCCTGTTCCATCTCACTTGACCACCCCTTTGTTTATGCTACCTGGAATCACCTCCCAAATCAACTACTTGTATCTGAATCTTTGTCCCAGGCTCTGCTTTCAGAAAATCCCAATTTAAATAGTTCTTGAGTAAGAACTTTATTCCAGACATTGTGAATCCAGGTCTCAAGAGTTTTCAGGCAAATCATACTATTTCCTTTTACTTTGCCTCTTGCCAAACTGGGTACATGCCATTTCCCAAACACATGTCCTTTTTGCTTCTAAGTCTCTGTCCACACCAGTAGTATTACATCATTAGCTTGAGCAGTAAAGCATAAAGATCTTCTGAATACCCATGTATGCAAACAATAGTAGCTGCCTGCCCAGCTTCATTCTCTTTCTCTTGCGTGTGGATATCCAGTTGTCACAGCACCACGTGTTGACATAACTATTCTTTCCTCATTGAATTGTCTTGACACCATTGTTGAAAATCAATTGACTATACCTGTGACGGTTTATTTCTAGTCTCAATTCTATTTCATTGCTCTCTGTCTATCCTTTTGCCAGTATCACAATTCCTCGATCACTATAGCTTTGCAATTAGTTTTGAGATTCAGGAGTGTGAGTTGTCTAATTTTATTTTTTTCAAGATTGTTTTAGAAGCATTGTTTTTAATTGGCATAGACTATTTACATTTAGTGCAATTACTGTATGGATTTGTATATGCTCACATTGTATCAGTCAGTCAATCAGAAAAGGAAAGTTGGGAAATCAAAAAATCACAAAGCAGCCCTCTTGAAGCAGTGACATAGATGGAGAGGTTAGAGCTTATAGGGAAAATAGGATGCCAGTCATGTGCAGCTATTCTGAGCAGGACTGACAAGGAAGCTGCTGAGGTCTGCAGCTAGTGGCAACTGTAGTTTGCTTTTCATTTTCTTTATTACATTCTTAGTGTCTTGTGCAGCTTAATTACTGATTGCATCAAGCTTTCACTTCTCTTCACAATCTGGTCCCTCAAGCTTGGCCGCCTCAGTAACTGTCTCATGGCTTCATATACACTTTTTATTATATTTTATCTACTTTTCCATTTTCTTGGTAGCAATTTTGTTCTGCTACAAGGTCTTCCATTGCAGATTAAAGAAGTTCCTTTCACATTTTTTTCTTACTGAAATGTAAAATCCTTGTGCTAAAGCATGGATAAATTTGGGAATTTTAGTAAAATGACTTCAGGAGCGTATTGTCTGCATCAACACTCACTGCTTCCCCATTCCACAAATAGTTCTACGTTATTAAGAATAATGTCATGAGTGTAAAGAATGAGGCAGCAGGCTGAGCATGGTGGCTTCCTCATCTAACATTGGAATTGCCTTTTTTCTTATTTTGTGAGACAGAGTTTCGCTCTTGTTACCCAGGCTGGAGTGCAATGGCGTGATCTCGGCTCACCGCAACCTCCACCTCTTGGGTTCAAGCAATTCTCCTGCCTCAGCCTCCTGAGTAGCTGGGATTACAGGCATGTGCCACCATGCCCAGCTAATTTTTTTGTATTTTTAGTAGAGACAGAGTTTCACCATGTTGACCAGGATGGTCTCGATCTCTCGACCTCGTGATCCACCCGCCTCAGCCTCCCAAAGTGCTGGGATTACAGGCTTGAGCCACCGTGCCCGGCTGGAATTACCTTTATAAAATGATTTATTAATTATCTTGTGTGTACATTGCTGCCTCACTCTTTTTTTTGAAACAGGGTCTCACTCTGTTGCCCAGGCTGGAGTTCAGTGGTGTGATCTTGGCTCACTGCAACCTCCACCTCCCAGCTTCAAGTGATCCTTATAGTGATGTGTGATATAAGGGAAGTAAATACATAGGAGAACATCTAGCCTTGGTGGATGGCTAGAAGAAGGGCTGGTGGACTAAGCATGGCTTATTTCATTCAGAAAAGATACATGGAAATTAGTATAGGCAAATAAAAAGGTAGCAACTATATACATCACAGCAATGGAACAGGACACTGTGTAATATGGTTGATTCATTAGTGAAAGAGTTACAGGAGATGAGATCTTAGGCTTGCTTGCCAAGCATCTTTATTGAGCCAGGCAATCTTCCATGAAACTGGATAGATCCCCCACTTTCATTTCTCCTGAAATTCCCTAATTTTGTAGCAGGATGATGACGGATACTATGGAGATTTCCTTGCTCACAACAGATTCCCCCTGTAGCCACATTTGTCAAGAATCCGCGGGCCAGGGCAGTAGAGGTGTGGCCTCAGTGTGTGGGTGCCTATATATCCAGGTGTACATTGGAATACAGATGACTGGGCCAATTGGATTCTCCCTCTTAGGGCTGTGAGATTTGTCTGGAAAGACACAGAGGCCAAAATTCCCCTGAAACTAAAACATTTTAAGGGCTGCATACTACAGAATAAATCCAAGAACTCATCTTCGAGAGATTTTTGGAGCCATCATTCTGCCTTCCCTTGGCTTGTATCATTCGGTCATTGATTCTGTTATTTACCTCAGTCGGTATCCCTCCACAAATCCAATTATTTTTGCTCTAGATGGCTGGTTTATTTCTTTAGATTATAAACAACAACAACAAAAACTAGTATGGGTGTATGACTCTGAAAATGGGGCCTCAGTATTTCAGAATCTTTGATTGCTGGAGTCAAGCACACAATGTCTATTCTAAAAGTTCTAGAATTTTTCCACAATGTTGCTGAGAGAGAAGCAGGACACAAACATTTCAGTCTTAGAGGAATCACTTTGTCGTATACTCTTGGTCATGGATATGGGAGTTGGGTGCCTAGCCTTTGTTTTTGAGGGAGTTCTAGTTATTGGCAAAGTCATCCAAGTGCAAATATATATATATGGGTATGTGTGTGCGTGTGTGTGTTTATATATATATATATATATATATATATATATATTTTTTTTTTTTTTTTTTTTTTTTTTTTTTGAGGCAGAGTCTTGCTCTGTTGCCCAGGCTATAGTGCAGGGGTATGATCTCGGTTCACTGCAACCTCTGCCTCCCTGGTTCAAGCTGTTCTCCTGCCTCAGCCTCCCAAATAGCTGAGACTACAGGCGTGTGCCACTGTGCCTGGCTAATTTTTTGTATTTTTACTAGAGACTGGGTCTCACCATGTTGGCCAGGATGGTCTCACTCTCCTGACCTCATGATCCACCCGCCTCAGCCTCCCAAAGTGCTGGGATTACAGATGTGAGCCACGACGCCCAGCCCACAAAGTTTTAAATGTAAATTTTAAAGGATTTTATATGCATTTAAAAAGGTTTTAGGCCAGGCGCGGTGGCTCACGCCTGTAATTCCAGCACTTTAGGAGGCTGAGGCGGGTGGAT